AAAACTGTAAGCACAAAATTTAGTGAGTTTCTCCAACAGTACCACATATCATACATACAGTTAGGCCCAACCCTAGGGTATATTCTAACCCAACATATAATCATGGGCCCAACCCGGGGGTATGTTTCAACCCGAACATGTAATAATGGGCCCAACTATGGGGTTTCTTTCAACCCAGGCATACAATTATGGGCCCTGGTTTATTTCAACCCAATCATACAAACATGCAAGAGTCATAAAGATATCTAGCATCTTACATGCACAATCCAATGGGTCGGCATTGATGCCTTCGACCCACAAGCACAGTGAGAAGACTCACTTCTCAGTTGATACACAAATGTTACTGCTCTCACTGCTAGAAATATCGATGTTATGCACCACATATACGGTTATACCAAATAATCCATTAGCTCTTCTTCCAAAACTAGGTGTTTGACCAAAAGTCAACACAAGTCAAAATTCGATAGTCAAAGTCAACGGTCAATGTTGACTTTAGCCAACTGTCACGCCATGGCCATCCATGACCACGACGCGGCCCTCGTATATCGAAATAGTTAGGTTTTTCGCAGTCATCACACCGTGGCGAGCTAAGGCCATGTTGCGGTTGTTGGGTTTCCGACAACTTAATGGGTTAAGCTGTTTTCTTGATCTCAAGAGCTCCAAAGGTCAGATCTAGTTCAAAACATGGTCTAGAAGGATAAAGTTTCCAATTTTACCCATTAAGACCACCCAAAATGTCAAGATCTCAAACCCTAGGTTCCAAAAAGGCTAAACAAGACACGGATTCATTCATTAAGCACTTATTCCAAAAAGTCCTTAAGCCAATAACTCCATAAGGGTTTATAGCACCAAGACTAACATAAAAGTTTGTGCTTCATATACATACATGTCCAATGCATGTCTTGAAGCCATAATTAGTCAAAATAAGGGGTTTTGATAATAATCTCATGTATGGCTCAAAAACTCAACTATACTTCAAATCCAAACCAACAATCATACCAAAAGTTACAGAGATTCATAAAGTTGCAAACTTTTGAGATCTCACAACTCCAACTAACAAGAACATGAAGATTAATGGATAAAATTCAAGATCTAGCAACCTATCATGATAAAACAAATCGAGTCTTGGACACTACAAGGTCTAGAAGAGTGCTAGGACGAAGGATTGAGAATTGCTTGCTAAATCTTAGCTCACTTGTTCCTCTTTTTTCCTTCAAGGACTTCAAAGAACACCAAAAAGGGTTTCAAAAATGGAGGAAGGAGATTAGGATTTCTTCAGATCTTAGGAGGCTGATGGAGACTAAGGATGAGTAAACCCTAGCCTCCTCATTCCTTTAAATAGGGAGCAAACCCAGAAAATAGGGTGTTCCATCAGCCAGCTGCCACGATGTGTCCATTTACTGCCACGTCATGGCGGCATAAATGAAACACAAGTTTAAAGCTTGCCTTGCCACGTCATGGTGGTGCCCCCACCACGTCGTGGAAACCCTAAAATGCCACAAAAAAAAACTTAAAGTACCTCAAGATCCGGGCGTTACAAATACATGGCTAGATACCTAACTCATACACAAAAACATCTAGTGACTACGTTTTATCTAAAACTGACAAAATTGCTACTTGATTCTCACATTTTAATTCATCCTTTGCTTAAAAGAAGCAAGAGATTATGTTTTCACTTACAAGCCCCATTGTCAAATCAGGATTTTGTCATACAAAAAAAGTCACATATACAACAATAAAAAGTAAATTGTATCCATAATAATCCTATCATATATGGGAGGTAAATCGCAAAACACCAACAACCAAGGAAGTGTCCTGATACTTCACTTTCCTCTTAGAGTCGGAGGCTCGATGAGAATAAATAGGGATGTATTGAACCAAATGGTGTGTGACGCCAACTTTAATATCATGCTAAATTTATGTGAAGCTCAATATTGTCTCTTCAAAAGAGTCAATGTAGAAAGAAAGGAAACCCCAACATATATAGACTTATTGAACTGTATCGCACCGATGTGGGATACAGTTAACAGACCTCACGGGGGCAAGTCTCATTCAACAATATTCACATTGATCAGTGAATAAGAATAACCTATTATATGTTACTTCGCTTTTAGAACCCCACTCCATGGTTTTTAGGGTTATTTTATATAATGGGGATGAGTAGTAAATTCATATTACGTCCAAAAGATCCAAACTACTATGTGTCCTTGCATATTTCACTTTGTTGATGAAGCCAAAATTAGAAATTGTCCTATTTATATCATACTCAAACCTAATGTAATATTTGCCAAACCCAATACAAAACTCTCATATAATGCCATATAACTAACAAAACAAAGGATGTCAAATGACCAAACTCATTTGTATATCTTCCTTGTCATCGTGTGATGTGTCTACCAACCTAAACACTACAAATCTAAGCAACAAATTCATTTTAAGGGCATACACAAAAATATCATATGATTATCTAAAACTAAAGTAAATGGATTTCAGCATATTTAATTTTTTAAAAACTAAATTCCAAACAAAAAAAACAAATAATAATAATAGTAATAACGATGACAACGACGACGTTAAGACTAAGGGTATGGTCACATCCAACCTACCGAAAAAGTGATGTCACCTCATCGTGATGTTAGCTCCACTACCAACCCACTAACCCTTGGAAATAGCTACCACTTCACATATTTTTTTACATTATTAGATTAAATTAAAAAAATAATTCAAATAAAACACATATTAAAAACATTAAATTAAAACACGTTACAATAATTTTAAAACACACAAATTTAAATCCTAAAATACTTTTAAAAAAAAAACCTAAATTAATTAAAAAAAACACACAACATAACAACTAAAACATAAATATTAGAACCTAATCGTCATATTTAGCACGGACACATTGTTGGATTTTTAGAAATGTCGCAAGGTTTTCCGGGTCGAGATCCGGTTGGGGCTTCGTATTTATGATTTGAAGATCGGTAAGAGCAATTTTTTGACGACGAGCTTCCTCCGTTGATTGGTATTTTTTCTCTAGAAAACTTAGAGTTTTATCTATGGATTCCACAAGCCGAACGTTGCTAGTAGCGGTTGCTTGCCCGCTTGAAGACGTCGCCCGTTTTGTTATGTCCCTTCCCGATGGTCGACGGAGTTGGACTTCAGGTGGACCCTCTCCATCGGCAACATCGACATCATCATTGAGGTCTAGCCCAAAATCCGCGTCCGAATCAGAAGTTATTGGTCTTTTGTTGGAGCCGGTGGTCGAGTCCGAATGCGATGTCTCTAGATTAAGGACCCATTTTGGACCGTTGCGGCAAACTTCCCACGCTTTTTGGTGACCAAATGGTTTACCATTGTTGGTTACTTTGAATTGGTAGCACACGGTTGATAAAATGTTGAAATCGTTGGAACCACTTTTATGCATATTTTTTAGATTTTCAAATATGTCATTAAACTTTGTGCAAATCGCACGAAGATCATGTCATTTTCCGTTGACCGTGTCGTTCGACCGATCCGTTTTCCTTCCAAGTAGCGCGTGAAAGTGATCCGAAACATGATTCCAAAAACTTTCTCCAGATTGCGCGTTGCCTCTTCTCGAGTCACGGTATATGAAAATCCAAGTTTTTGCTAAAGCTTCTTCCTCTTTTTTGTTCCAAACCGTTGCTTTTTTTCCCCTTTTGCTTTTGGTTGCCTTCTTCGAGATTGTTGTGGTGTTTCATGGATTGGTTCATCGTCGTTGTCAAAGCTCACAGTTTGGGATTGAGATAATGCAACTTGAAATGATTCTGTTTGGAACTGTGGCGAAGTTTGTTGTTGAAAACCTTGGAATTAGGGAATGAATTGAGGTTGAGTGAATTGTTGTTGTGATTGTTGTTGTTGGAAGAATTGTGGATTGTATGGAATGTTTGATAAAGTTTTAGGAGTGGGTGGGGTATTTTTGTGTGAATCGATTTTTGGAAGAAAAGAGAAAGAAAGTAGGAGAACTTTTTTGATTTAGAAGTGCAAAATGAAGATTTGAAGTGTATTGTGTGTGTGTGTGTGTGTGTGTGTATATATATATATATATATATATAGAGAGAGAGAGAGAGAGAGAAAAGATGTTATTTAAATTTTTTTTAAAAAAAATTAACTCCTAAACAGTCGAAAAATGACCGATACACTCTCTCTCCAGTTTCAATTGGTCGTCTTCGTCCGTGGTAGAGGCTACGCCACAAGACACCAACACGCACCTGGGATGGTGTTCAGGCGTAGGTGACCTTGCCACATCACCCCTACTTGTAGAAAAATCTCACCTTACCGCAAAGCCTAATGTTTTGCTAAGAATTAATGCTGTGGTTAACAAATATAAGACTGTTCTTGTTTTGATAATAATTATCTTTGACTCTTCTCTTATCAATTATCGTTTACTTTCTTGATGTTTAGAAAATGTCAGCATGTTTTTAACGTCAGAATTATTTTATTTAGTTACCGCCATCAATATGGTAGGATGGTGATCACTTATCCTTTAAAAGCTCCAAACATTGTAGATGAGACCAAAATTAAAAATCATCACGTCAACATCAGTCTAGATCCTAAAGTAATATGGGCCAAACAAAATACATAACTCTCACATAATGCAATACATAACTAACAAAACAACGATGCCTAAATAACCAAACCAAACCTATCTTCATACCTTCCTTGTCATTTGGTTGATGATGTGTCTAGCAACCTAAACACCATAAATCTAAGCAACACTTTTGTGTTGGAAACTAAAGTAAATAACCCAACTTTTTCAGATATTAATCTATAGATAACGACAATCTTATGAAGTTACAATAGACAAACTATCAGCATATAATTTTAATGATGGTAACTTTATGGAATATAGCAATTTATTGTGATAATAGTAGACTACCAAAATCTTTGTATAAATCGAGTTTATATTACATGGTTCATAACAAGAGGAAAAATTATACATGAATCGAGGGAGCTTCACCTTTGATGGAAGAAAAAATGACATAAAATGTTTGCGAAAACCTATTTGCAAAACTAGAAAACAATCGAATTTCATGAAAAAAATAATTAAAAAAAAAAAAAATCAAGATCTCTTGACAACAGCAGTTGCAAAGTGTGGATGATGATTGAATTCGAAAGAAACCTTAAGTGATGGATCAAGAGACCCTAACCGACTTACAAGATTAAGAGCAATACCATTGTGTTCTGCGACTTGCTCTATGTGTCTTAGTTCTGTCAGCTTGTTTTTGTCATTGACGAAACTACCCCTCAGTTCCTTTGCAATCCTCTGGGCTTCTTTGAAGTAATTGCACATGATGAGGGTCTGTCAAGGAAGAAAGAAGCATTTAATGATAAAATTAAACTAAACAATTGTTATATTTTAAAAAAAATTAAAAACTTGTAATAAGTGGGACCCACATCGAATTGTGAATGGGCAGTGTAGTCTCTAAAAGTGTAGTATGAGACGTGATCAGGAATGCAAGCTTTTTGTAACAGCTCAAAATGCTGAATAAATCTCTGAAAATACAATATATATATATATAAAAAAATGTGTATTTAGTGATTCCATCATTAAAAATAAAATTAAAATTATTTAAAAACTTTGAGTTACCTCTTGCTCGCTATTGAATGGTCCCCGACACTGAAAAACTCCATGTTCATTTCTCAAAGCAGAAATCATCTAACAAAAAAAAGTAAAAAAAATAAAAATGTGAATAATTTGCAAATAAAAATGTATAAAAGCCAAGAAAAATGTGTTACCAATGTGAGGCCTTCAGCAAGATATATTTGGCACTGAAGCAACAAAACTGCAGGTGGGATTGCAGGTTCCCTTGCCACATCCTTCATAGACTCCCTTTTCTTCTTTCCTTTTCGCTTAGCTGGCATATCAATTCAATTCTTAATAAGTTTCCAAAGATAAAGAGAAATAAAAATTTAAAAAAAAATGTTGTTTAACCAAAAATAATAGAGTAATACTCACCGGTTTCACTGTTTGTGATCATTCTGAGATGCATTTTTTCACCGAGTTTGATCAAGATAACATATATATACCAATAAACCATGCAGTATTCACTAGGGGCATAAAGCTCCAATTCAAATCCCAATATGAGGAAACGAAAAGCTATCCAATAGGTTTGTTCCTCAACCCAATTAAGGATGTTTTTGTAAATCTTCATGCATAAATTCTACAAAACATATTTTTTTTTTTTTTAAAAAAAAAACAGTTATAACAATAAAGTGACATTGAATTGGATGTATAAATAAGCAAAATGACAAAACTAATAACACATACTTCATCAAGTGATGTACTTGAGCTTTCTTCAAACTCCTTTCTAAGAGCAATCTCTAGCTATTGGAGTAAAAAATAAAATCATAAGCCAAAATCATGATTGTTGTAATAAAGGTTATTAACGATGAAGAGGCATTCTCTTTCGAAAATAAATTAATGAGTAAGTTACAACTTTGGTCCCTGAGTTTAGCACTTTTTTCGGTTTTGGTTTGCAATTTTGGTCATTATTTTGTTGTTTCCCTGAATCATTAAATCTAACTACGCCAGCTGGTGATTTATTTAAAATTGACCAGTTTGACCTCATGCCAAAACTGAAAATTCTATATATATACAACAGGGACCATATTTGTAACTTTCTCTAAATTTTACTGTTAAACTATTTGCTAACTTATGACACATTTTATTTTAATCATCTTAAAAAGTAAAAGTTTTTAAATTATTGTACATTTAAAATGATCATTCTGTCCTTGGCCCACTCACATGTTATGTTCATATTTTTTTTCTTGACTTTTGTAAATACTAATCTCTTAAATATATGACAAAACTTTAAACTTCAATACAAGTTCAAATATTGTAATGTTTAAGAATTTGTAATGTTGTAATGTTTTCATATACTGATCACAAACCAAACCCATTTTTATGAAAAGTAAGAATAACTAATTTTTGCAAATTAATCATAAAACGTTAAACCAATACTCAGATCTGTAATTAATTATTTAATGTAGAAGAAAAAAGGTGGATGTAACATTATATTTGTCACTTAATTAAATATCAACATCATACTGTAAATGATAATTATTGATTATACTTACACACCTGCATGTGTATGATACGCCAATCTTGTAAAACTTTCCCAAGTTGACGTCTTTGCCATGCAGCATTTGTACACAAAATTTTAAGCAAAGTTATCGCCAACTTTTTCAAGAAAAAAGCAATAATCATATGTTAGGATGATTAAGTAAACACGTATACACCATGGAATAGATTTTCAAAATGTTAATAATAATAAAAAGTATAATCCATATGAAAATATTCACCTGACAAAGATGTACAAAAGACTCGTTTTTCTGTATATCAAGGTTTTTTGCAAGTTCTGGTATTGCAGCAGCTTTACAAATCATAGTGAAGATAGGATCACGCCCAAACAGTTTCCCATCTTGAACTAGTAGAAGCTGTTCATTAGTTTCAGAATGAGAATTAAAAAAAGTAAAAAAAAAAATAAATATATAACTTGATCATTATCGTATTTGAGGACATAATGTCATATATAGATTTTTTTTTTACTTTGATATGAATGCCATTAAGGAGACATTTGTTTAGCATAATGTTTTTGGAAGGAAATATCATGCCCTTGGTTAGGGTATTTTGGTCTTTTAACAAAAAAGGAAGATTGGCAAAATATACAACTTTATAAAATCTTTAAATAGAGGAACTAAAATATCATAGCTACCTGTAAATGAGATCTAGCAACTAAATCAGGTTGCAACTTCTGAAACTCTACAACAAATCGCAAAGCACCTTCATGCAATGGGTCTATGGGATGTGAACAGACAATATCTAAATCATGAAGGAGCTTTTGAAAATATTCAACAGCCTGTAAAAAGTTAATAAAGTATTTAGAACTTTAGAAAAAGTAAAATAGAAATAAAAAGGTCTTTTCTTATTGCATACTTTCTTCCAGCAAAAAACTTTGATTGCACGGGGAGGTGTTGGAGCAGATAATCTACTGTTTAAAGTGGAATCAAATCCGATTGGTTGACAACCAGAAGCAGTAGTACTATCTTCAGATTCCATTCCATCCTCCCACATTCCATTCCGGTTGTTTGCCCTTAAAAATTCTTCTGTTTTAAGAATGCTATCAAGCTCTAGTAAGCAAGAAGCTATATGTTTTCTTGCTAATTCCAATCCTCTTCCTTGGGGTCGCCTCAAACATAACAAGACATGGTAAAAATGCTGAACTCAAACAAAATGAAATTCATGTTACTAGATTGTCATATATTATAAATAACACTTATAACTTGTATTAAGTGCATATTCCTTTTTTGTATATATCAGAAACTCACAAGATCCATGAAAAAAAAAACAAAAAAAAAAAAAAAAAAAAAAAAAAAAAAAACACAGGGTAAGACCTTACGAAAGCGCAAACGACATAACACAGCTTTGCAATATCCTTCTTCAAGATCAAGATTTGTTTGTAATGGCTCTATGTCTGCAATACAAGTAATTTCTTGAAATTCCAATACAAAAATCAAGAAAGCAAACAATATACCAACAACAATAATACCCAAGTCCAACAGGAAGCTAGTACCTAGACTACTCGTATACTAACAGTCTACTACCATGATAAAAACAGACAACATATAAACATGCATAAAAAAATAAAGTATACCTAGTTTTGAATAAACCCACCTTCTATCGATCTTTTCTTATGTGACGGAGCTTTACAAGCATGTAATTGACGAGAAATGGTTTCTTCTAGAACATTTAGCATGGATAAGCATTTTTCATCTCCATCTCTTTTCAATGGAAGACCGGATGTGATAGTAAACAGATCTTCTTCCTGAAATAAAAGTAAAAAAGAATAATGTAACATGAAAAATATAAATAAACAAGTTTTTTTTTGGAAATCCCTCACCTCATGTGTGCGTGAATCAGAAACAGCTGAAATAACCGCATTGCATGTTGAACGAATTACTGTGCAGTAAGAATGAAGCAATGCATGTGATGGTGTTCTATCAGGTCTCAAAAGATAAATGCAAGAAAAAATAGTTTGTGCCAGTGAATGACCCTTGTGCCAAGTCGCCTGCCAAACAATTAGAAGACCAAAATACCCTCGTTATATGAATTAGCTATAGATCACATGATGAAAGCAGCAGGAGTTGGAATAGTAAAAAGTACCTCACATGAAAGCATATGATCCATGACATCGATCATACAATGAACATCTACAGTTTTGTTAAAGCTCAAGGGGATAGGTGCAGCACCATCTTCAATGGCTTCATCAACCGAATAATATCTACAAACAATGCCTGAATCCATCTTTGGGTCCATTATCTAATAAAAGTAGATATAATCATGAATCATTATCAAAGCAATCACACAAAAGAAAATCAAAGCAAGTAGGAAAACTCAGTGCATAATCTCAAATACTGAAGATAGGAAACATTAACAAAGAGATATATCATACATATATGTAATGGAAATACTACAATAGTAATGAGCCATTACCTCCAAAGCAGACATGGCTGCAAAAAGATTAAAATTATCTCCATGAATGAGTTCTCCATCTTGAAGATCTGTTGATGTGCCAAAATGCTTCAATTAGTTATTTGCAATCGTTCTTCTTAATGTAAGCAATAAAAATCCAAGCCTCACATATACATAAACCTATCTTCACTCGAAACAACCTTATGTTTATGACGACTGTGATGATACAGAAATTTTGGTTACTAACTTGGATACCTGATACAGAATTACACTTCCAAACTTAAGTCAGCTACGTCGAAAAGAGGTATAATTCATCTCAATCGATAAAATCAATAACTGAAACAAAGTAACCATCCAAAATACATGACCGTTATGAACCCCCTATCACTCATCATTATTCATTAGTGATTGTACGTTGTTCAAGCCTATGTCTATAGTTGTTCCTCGTGTTGAAACGCAAACCTAGGGTTTCGAGAAGAGGTTCGATTATTACCATTACAAGCCGAATCGAGAAGGGAGGCTACGTCGGCCCAAACAGTCTGCTCGCCGGACGGTATTGATGGATTGAGAACAGGTACAGACGTCTGTTCATGGTTTTCGGATTCTTGTTCTTCAACTCCGTTATTGATATTTTCCTCCATTTCTACAATCACAAACGAAGAAGCAGCAAATCTCTGGGTATCGAAAGCTGCCTGTGTGTTCTTCGAGCTGTGTAGTTCCAAAACTTGTTTTCAAATGAGAATGTTTGCTTGCGATCGAGTCGGGTAGGGCATCTGAATATGGGTCGGATCTGAATCGAGTTCAAGCCACCGGGTGCATACACACAAATCGCAAATTATCGCAAAATGATTTATATCTATTTTTATAAATTTATTTCGAAAATTTATTTATTTATTTTTAACCGTTAACACCTACCTTTTAAATCTACTCATAAATCAAAATCATCCAACTCAAGCCCTTAACTCCTTCAAAAAGAAACATTTTTTACCCAAACGATCACTTTACATAGTATGAAACTTTTACTATTTAGGTTCCATAAATACTTCATGAAATTCTATTTTCCATAAATTATTGAGATCTTTTTATGTATAGCATGTGGTTTTATCTTTTTTAAACCATATCCTTAAGGCTTCAATTAGGGTGGCTATAATAAGGTAACACAACATCACTTGTAAAACAAGGCAAAAATGTCTTTGTATATTTACCACATTGTGAACCATCTTTATATGAATTTTATCTAAGCAAGAATACTCCTTATAAAAATATATTTGTTTTGTTCAATGTTGTTGTTGATATGTAGATACTTGCAAATGGTGGTTGTACTTCACAAAAAGGATTGGTTCTAAATAGTATTGGTTCTAAATAGTATTGTATGTAATCAGTCAAGCTAAACTTTTTTGCTTAGGCTTAATAAAGTGGCTCAGCAAACTAACATAGACTCAACGAACACTGCACCGTGGACACTGCAACAAGTCGAGGAGAGAGAAAGGGCCATTGTTTTATAAATTCAAATTTCTTTCCAGCCCAATTCCAATCTCAACCCCAATTTCAATCCCTATTTAAATTTAAAAATGATTTCAATATTTCAACTCATTTACACAAATGACTATAAGAATATTAGAGTAAAACAACACAAACAAAATAAACATCAATGTCTTGATTTTTCATTGCTTTATGATCATACAAAAATATAAAAATATAATTTGTGTCTAAACCAAGCTATAACGAAATTTTGCATAATACAAATATTTAAAATCAGTTACAACCGTTACGTCGACGATACTCATACAATATAATTACAACAATATAATGTGCCAATGCACCCATCACAACAAACACATGAAATATTTGATGACTATGCCCAACTAAATCAAACCAACCAGGCTTCCACTTCTCAGGTACCCGAGTAGCATAAAACATAGCCCCTATCAGATACGAAAAAGCCATAGCAGATTCAAACCCTAAAGTAATATTCCTCTGAGGCACGTTCCAATTGACAATGGTAGCATGGATCATAGGGATTACCCCAAAAAGACCCATTGCCACAAAAATTATTGTCCGAATGAATCGGTATTTCCCACGTGTTCGTTTAGGGGAAAGAAGTATAATGACTGCTAAAATACCAAGTATGGATATTGTTGTAAGGTAGACGTATTGCCATATGGTATCGCACTGAAAGAGGTAATATATTGGAGGGAAAAATGAGGTGATAATCATAACTGCTATTCCAACGTAGTCTAACTGACTCAGCAGACAGTTTAAGTGTTGTGAGTGACAAGAGAACAGGTGGCATAAGCTACTTGATACGAAGCAAAACATTGAACCACATAAAAATATAAATAATGGCCAACGTGGTGTGTCTATTAGCGCTGGTGGTGTACCCGTATCCGATGGAAAAACCCTAGAAAAAAATAACATATTATAATAAAAACAATACTTTTATTTGGGAATAAATATCTTGAAATTTGATTAATGGTTAATTAAATGTCTAGATTATGATATGTATTTAAGCCGAATAATAATTAGTAAGTACCATTTGGAAAGGTTAATGAAGTCGGCCACTTGATAAAATTCTGTCAAGTTTGCAACTGTGAGTATCAAGAACGCAACAAATCCAATCACGTGACTGCATATACAAAATTTAATGTAGTTATTATCAACGAAAAAATGTGTGGGCTGTATCATATAGTGTAAAAAAACAGAGAAAATATTATATGTATTGATAATGTTACAACGATTTATATTGGTTTTTTATTCTAAAATATTAAATCGAAACTTGAAATAAAAATTGACAGGTTGAATATAGGTGGGTGTTGCAACTTGCACCAACCTTACCCCAAAATTTGTTGATTTTTTTTGTTCCTTCTAGAGATAATAAAATTATGGGAAAATCTCACATGATCCGATTGTATGTACACATTCTGATGTATACAGGTTATATAGATAGTTTTAAGATAATTCATCCAAAAAAAATGAAATCATACGGGAATTTTTCATGATCTTGATGATATATACAGTATACAGTATACACGCTTTGATTAAATCGAGGGAGAGAATCAACTTATCCTTTAAAATCGCAACCTGAGAATTTAGATCGATCCACACACGCGTTCGAGAAGAGATTACGAACTTTTCCCCTAAAATTAGTAGTAAAACTCGAAGATAACGTAACATATTTAGGGATCATCTATCGATGAAAGAGAAAATCATGACGTTTTTTTTTCCTAAATTCAGCAGCAATATTCGAACAAAACTACGGAATGATTGTAACATGTATATGTCAAATCATATCATGACAACGAGAAATGAGAAAATTACGAACTATTTCCCTAATTAATGGAGAAAATCGAAATGGAAAAATGTCAGATCGAGAGAGTGAGAAGATGAGAGCACTTACGTCCAGATATTAAGAGATTCATTGTGGCATAAGAACAAGGAAACGAAGGCGTGATTAAGAGACCATTCAGCTCTGTAGTAATTCAAGATGTACTCATTATCCTTCATATATTCCGGCAGTTCTTCATACCTCAGCAATGGAAACTTGTTCCTCCCCTTCTTTTCTGTCGGGCTTGAGTTCAGAAACTCTGTTTCATCCATGTCTCGCTTTTCACTTTTCCCCCTTCTTCACTTTCTCATGTATAGTGTGATTTGCGAGCTCCAAAAATGGGGAATCAAAGTATCAAATTTAAGATATTTTGCGATCCTCCCTCCAAAATAAATGTACACACCAACTATGTATGTTGTACTATATCTTACGAAGTTCTATTTTATAATTATAAAATTGAAACTTGTTTATAACAACTTATAAATCGTTAAGAGTCATACCTAACAAAGTGGTATGGATTTTATTTGTGTAAAATATTTTGTGAAAGTAGCTCTATGCTTTTGAAAGTTAATCAAAGGATATAAGTTTGGCGTTTTTGGAACGTAGCTTTTGAAATCTTTAACCATTTAGCCTATATGAAAAAAACTTGAAATAAAAGGTTACATAATGAACTTTTAGTTTTTATTTTAATTAAAATGATATGAATCCAACTGCTAGTTCTAAATGTCGTTTGGAGGCATTTAGGTTGTGTTTAGTTTTGGAAAAAAAATAATTTTCAGTTCTCTCGGAAAAGTTTACAACAAATATGAGTTTTCATTTTCAGATTTCAATGAAAATTTCAAAAAACATGTTTGGTTAAAACTTTTCGGTTCACATTTTCCATTGTTATTTTAAATAACGGAATGGTTAGGTAGGGAAAGTAGGGTGGGGAGGGCCTAGCCGCCTAGGTAGGTTGGGTGTGGGTGGGTAGGTGTAGCATAGCCAAGGTGTGGGTGCAATCCCATAGATTAGGGTTTTACTCAAACAGTACCTACTCGCCGAGTCAGTCTACCGACTCGTCGAGTAGGTCACTTAAAATGTCTGCGGGTCCCGACTCTTCTCGACAAGTTGGGCTTCCAACTCGTCGAGTTCCAGAGAAAAACATAAACATAAAAAATACTTTGAATTAAGTGCGTATCAGGAATCGGGTGCTACACCTTAACCCCTTGAATGAGGAGATCTAACACTAGAATGATCAAGGTAACTGTTGGATTAGTGTCTAAGTCCATAACTATTTTGGTATGTACTTGACCCGATGGTGCATGGTCCTTTTGGGTTGCCTTCACCAAAGCAACTTGATTGGAGAAATGAATAAAGAGAGAAAAGGATAATATGATTTATTAATATGTTATAGGAATAATATATTAAAGGAGAAATCATATTTGTTTAATTAATATTGGTCAATAATTAATTAAGAATTAGTTTTGTGATCAAATGTAATTAATTAAACTAGAGGGGCTGATTTGTAATTATGTGATAGTTACAAAATAAGGTAAGGATTATCTTATTTATATGGTGGACGAATTAAAGGTTGGAAAGCCTTAGAATTCGAGTATGATAAGGATTCAAGGATTATCTTATTGGTTGCTTAATGGATAATCAACTAGATAAAGATAATGACTGAAACCCTATCTCTACACCTATATAAACACTTCCTAGGGTCATGAATTCGTGAATCCCTTCCCAAGAGGTCCTAGATACGAATTCTAACCTCTCACCTCTTCTTTATACCTTCTCCATTTGCTTATGGTGTTTGTGAGCCATTAGAGGAGTGACACTTGTGACTCTAAGCATTCCAAAGTCAATCCAAGGTGGAATTGGGATTGTTATTGCTACATAACAATCAAGGTATGATCTTAAACCTAATTACATATTAATATGATTACTTGTATGCTAGAATTAGGGTTTATAGTCTTGGATTCAAAGCATGTACAATAGAGAAACCTAGATCCAAGCATTAGGGTTTGTATGAGCACATAGGATGTCTTATGACCAAAACCCATCAGTGGTATCAGAGACTAGCTTGGTTTCAATTGTATTGATGCATTGTATAACTGGAAAATCGTTTTTTTGGGCTTTATGGCTGAGGAACTCGGCGAGTACAGTGTGGTACTCGGCGAGTTCGAGCGTCAGATAATGCTTATCTCGGGATTTCTTGCTGTTTTTGCATTTGGATAGTTACCTTATCATGTTAGATCAATATAAATCCGATTTTATGATATATATGACTATATTCTTGATCTAATTAAAGATAATTATCAATTAACAAGATAATTGTTTCCTTATAAGATAATTGATTAATTATTTTGAGTAAATTGATAAATTGTTTTGCAAGAAATCATTAAACAAATCAAATATGGATAATTATGTAACTAAATGTTAGTTTAGATTATTTGTTATTTGATCCTTGTTGTTATGAAAAATTTCATATTTTGCCCTTTAGGTTTTATAGTTTAAATTTGAACCCAAAAGTTTTGAAGTTTTGAAATTTAAATAGTTAAAACCCTAATGTTTTGAAAAAGTTTCAAAACTTGCCCTCAAGTTTTGGAATTTAAAAGTTGATTAAAAGTTTAATTAGAAATGTTAAATTCTAAAACCCTAGTTTTGAAAAGTTCAAATCACACCCTTATGGTTTTATTAATTAATTAAGGAGTATAATTAAAAGAGATTTAATAAATCCATAAAGTTTAGGTTAACCTTTTAATTGAATTAAAAGTGTAATTGTTAAAGTTAACCATATAGTATTTTAAAAGTATAAAATACACCCTATACTATATATAACATTAAAAGTCTAACATTATATATATGTATGAGTAAAAGTCAGTCTTACCGTTAGTAGGCCTCATTCACGAAGCTGGTCTATAAGGGGTGTTTAAGGAAATTGCCTATAAAATGGCGATTGAATGGGTATCCACTCTTACCCACCGCACTCTTGACTAGTGGAGGGTCGTTAGCCGAACGGGTAGGATAGGACGAAACCTTCCATTATAAGTATAATGAAATACAAGTAACTAAATGTTTTTCAAATTCCCAATCTTAGTTACTTAGGCAAAAGTGAATTGATGCAATTCCATGAAATTACACTTTGTGCCCTTGCGAAGACGTTAGTGGAGCGTGTGTGGTTTACCGGCACACTAAATGGTTCTAAGCAAAGGTAGCAAAGGGTGACTCAATGTTTGTCATAGTTCGGTGGAGCGTGTGTGGTTTACCGGCACATCGAATAGGTGATTGTAACATGTGAGGGCACCATGTAGTTTGCATGGTTATTCACACCCGCTTTGTGATCCTCGGCATCCCAGTCACAAACAAGAGGGGCATATCGAGATTTAAACATGCCATTGAAATGTTCAATGAATCTCAAAGGATCTAGGAGTTTTCATAGATTTAAAACTTAAATTTCTTTTTCGTTTTTCATGGTGGAAATTAGTGAATCGTCATTCACTTACCTTCAAATGTTCTGCAATTTGGGTTACGGCATCCCTCTCCCGAGTTGTAGGATATTGTGTTGGGTCCTAGCCTTGGAATTTCATTTGGGTGATTTACCAAGGACTCAATCAATCAACTAACTTGAATTCGTTTTTCTCCCGATGTCAAAGTTCGACAACTATGGTCTTCTCAAATCCCGTGGAACAAGCATTCCACATGAAGATGATATTCCACGATTCGATCGAGGAACAAGAAATCATGCTTCACTTCCTCCTCCTCCTCCAATTATTCTCCCTAACCCACAAGATTGTAAAATTGAAAGGTTCAATATCACTCAAGCCCTTTTGGCAAGTAAACATAAAGAGGAAGTCGGTGTGTGCACACGTCTTAGGGATGAAGTCACACTGATTGGGATCCGTTGTCGTGAGGATGGCTGTTGATTGGGTTCTTCAGTCACTTCCTAACTCATATAGTGAGTTCGTAAGAGAGTACTATATGATGAACCGCGACGTGACCCTTATAGATCTCACCTACATGCTTATTGCTGCTGAATCAGCAATGGTTTGGCGCAATAGAAAAGCAAAGTTGATTGGTGAATCTGCCTTCAAGACCTCTATGGATATAGACAATGGCAATGAAAGACATGCAATGATCGAAAAGTTTGATCATAAGAGAAAGGCGATGTCTGAAGTAGTTCCATGTGTTGTTCCAAAAGAGTCAATTTGCTTTTATTGCCAAGAGAAGGGGCATTGGAGACGAAGTTGCCCTATTTACCTAAGAGATCTAAGAGATGGGAGAGTCAAAAGTATGACTACGCTTTAGGTAAGAATCCACTATCTAACTCCATTAAGTTCCTATTCATTGATTCTTAATACATGATGTGATAAGATTGCATTTGAATGTTTTGAAGGATCGGTGAAAAGAAAGGAAGCTTGATAAGAGAGCAAGATGAATCTAATCACAAGAGATGGATCTCATCTCATGGACTTGAAGATTGGATTTTGAGCTTAGATAGTTATGATAGAGTTGTTAGAAATTTTCTTTTTACATAGTTTTCAATAGATTTTGCATTGTAAGGACAAATGTTTTCCGCTGCTTTTATAAATAAAAAAATTTTGACTTACTTATTTATTTGTTTATTCCTTGCAATGAAATCGTTATGAAAATTGATGTTTATATTTCTACAACGAATGGATATGATTCTTAGTTATGTTATTTATGGAAATGTCGAAATTTACCAAATAGGGAGAGTTTCTCATCGCCCAAGTTTCAATTGGACAGAAACTTGGAATCATGCAACGTGGATGCACGATGAATGAGAAATTTCGTATTTGGAAATTGACTAATTCATTGACAAAGTGTCAAGTGAAGGACTAGGAGATCGAGTACACAAAGTTGTGTGTTGATCAAGTTCACCATAAGAGTAACAAAGATATTCGTCATGATTTACTAAAGGCTTAGTAAATATGATTACACTTACAAGATTAAGTGTAATTTTGAATTGATTAAAGGGTTTAGATCAATAGCAAAACGAATAAGAAGAATCAAGTAGGCAGAAAGATAAGAGTTTCTCCATTCTAAGAAGAAGGGAGAGTAGCTTTTATGCTTTATGATAGGTCTTAATGATTAAGAACCATATCTCAATTGATCCTCTAAGTGAGTCTTGGTACAATTGTATGTCCAAGAAGAGGAATCAAAGATTGAAGAAATGGTCAAATCAAGAAGTCAATCATACTTCGTTCCAAAACAAGTCTTAAAGTCAAGATTGTGACATTGAGTGAATAGTATTAAGAAGGTTTATAACATTCATCAATTGTGGAAAGTTGTGATGTCTTGGATAAGACAAAGACCAACTAAGACCAAAATTATGAAGTGTTTTGTTTTGATAAAAGCTACACTAACTCTTGAATATTTGGTTGTCAACAAATGTTTATTGACAAGAGAATCTTATATGTCAAGGAGTCAGTGGGAGTCTTAATGGTCTTGAAAGGTTTCAAGAACAAATCAAATAAACCTTATTGATCATCACTAGCACACGAGTTGAGGTTTACAACCTATCGTGAAGACATTATTTTG